TTCTTTGGTGTCCTCTCGTGTGACCACACGACCTGTCTCTTATACACATCTAGATGTGTATAAGAGACAGGCCATAGACGCTATCTGGTTGAGATCGTTGTGTTTGTGTTCGGCAGAGCCGCTGGAGACAAGCATTCTTGTACATTGACAATAGGATTGGAGACGGCATCTTCAAGTGTTGATTGTATCTCGATTTGGCTTCTCACGTGTGAAATCTCATGTGAATGTTCATTGATGTATGCGAGGTTGAACTTAACGAGTACTTGGCTCATTTCTCATTTGTCACGATGCGCGGAATTTAAACCAACATTTCTGAAAACTTTTGGACTTTTGCAACTGTACTTGAACAGGACCAGTTCTGCAGTACATGCTTCTATCACCCCACCTAGGAGGGGGAATGGTTAAAAAAAAACAAAAAAAAACGCACCTGCCACATTCTAAGGGAGGCCGGAGTACACACAAGCAACAGTTCCACGTGTCATAATTTGCTCTGGTCTAGTGAGTGGGACGCTGGACCCAACCGCCAGCCGGTGCAGCTCCCCCCAAACATGCAGCCTACCACTAGGGGGGCATGCACACATATCATCTCATCTCCAATAGTGCCGGCGGGTGGATGTTTTCGGGGAAGAGGGAAAAAAAAAAGAAAAAAAGATAAAGATGTCCAGAGCTCTACACCCTCTTATTTAACCCAGGCCTCGAGTGAGGTTGGGCCTAATATGGGAGGCGGGCAGACCCAGGGAAGCGGCCTGGCATCTTGGCAACTTGACTGGTGGCCTCGCCATCCGACGGTGTGAAGTCGCCTCGCCACCAAACTCTCTTGGCCGCAGATATTCCCATCCGACGGTGTGAAGTCGCCTCGCCACCACAATCACTTTTGGGGCATACCTGGGTTAACGAGGAACCTCTGCTGCGCAAAAAATACACAGCCCATCTCTACGATGGCTGAGAATCTTAACAGTTAACGGGCGTCAGGCAGGGCCAGTAGTGTCCCCAGTGCCGTTTCCGTTTTCTCGGACCAAAAGGCACCGCCGACCATCCACAGAGTTTCTAAACCTCCATGGTCCAGCCACATTTTCGATTCTCGTGGTAGCCACTGATTATCTATCCTCCAATCTAACAGTGAGTGCACGGCTGCCCCAGCATGCCGCTGTGAGGTCACAACCGGAGATCCAACCTGCACACCCGAGTAGAATGCCCGGTCGTTATTGCTGTGCTAGAGCGAGTTTCGGTCGAGATGGCTCGTTCTTAGTTCGCCATCCGGGTCAGTATTTTCCCTACCATCTTCACCCCAGTAGAATGCCCGGTCGTTATTACTGTACTTGGAGCAAGTTTCAGTCCAGATTGCAGTGATAATGATCGGGGCCGACGTTCTATTCGGGCGAAGATGATCGTGCACCTCCTAAGTACCCTGCAACAACACGCTCAGAATATGCTATTGTCGATGGCCAAGGGGCCGCCCACAGGCCGCAGCGATGCCCTGCGCCAGACCGTATCCCGACCAGGCGCCGAAATGAGGCCTCAGAGGCCCTGCGCCCGACAGTTGCCTGAAGTCGACTGTAACTCAGAATATTGCGGCTCATGAGTCAAAGTCTGCATGCACCCAGTCAAGGCCACCGATCAGACACACACACTTGGCTGTACGTTCACATGTATCAAGGCAGAATCTGGTCCAAGTGGAGGTCTCCAACTGTACGCGATCCAGGCCCTCGACTGTGAGTCAATCTGATCCTTCGTACCTGGAAGACCAGAGGCTGGTCAACCGCGTCGACACTACTTATTGACCCAGCCGCTATTCGTCGTCGTTCTGTCTTGCACTTGCTGCTTGACGCTGGCACGGCGCTGGCTTGATGCTGGCTTGACGCTGGCACGACGCTGGCTTGACGCTGGCATTGTGTGGACGACGACGCGAGACCGCTGCATTGCGTGCTGGCGCCTCTCTGCTCTTGGCGCCAGCTGGAGATTTGATTGCTGACGCGGCACTTGCCACACTGTCTTCGACTCAGATTGGGGAATCGACGAGGAGGGAGATCAGGGATGTGGGATTGGTTGTGAGAGAGAGAGAGGGAAACTTACCTGATTGATGCTGTCGACATTGCGTGCTGCTGTGACGTCTTCATGGGAGATTTGTGCCTATGTGGCACTATATGCTGTGATCGGATCTTGTTAGGCTCGTCTTGAATACTGTTTGCGAACGTGAAAGAAAGGGAGATGCCCGGAGGAGAAGTGGGTTAGGAAGGAGATCTATCCACAATGACATCGATGGATACTTCCTCTTCCGCGCGATATTGACGAGTTTCCTTCCAGACTGGGTTGATTGCAACCCAAACTTTGAGCGTATTTTGAATATTTTCAACGCTATTTTTTTTGTGTGAACTTCAGGAAAGTCAATCTGGAAGAGGCATAACACTGGTAACAGGTATTCAAGCATACTTGGCTACGGTGAAAAAAAAAAAAAAAAAACAAATTGGGCTCCAACAAAAAAGACACAAAAAAAAAAAAAAAAAAAAAAAAAAAAAAAAAAAAAGAACACTTGGCTCCGGCGATACTCGTACCGTAAAGGCGAGAGAGCAGCGAGAGCGCATGGTCACGCAGCAGTGGGCTAAGAAGGAAGCCAACATTCTCCAGCAGATACCCTCCCCACAGAGAAGAAGAAAGGTCCAGGAAGAGAGTGCAGACATGGCACCGAACAAGAAACAGGGTGCTTGATGAGGTGAAGAGGAGGAAGGTAAAGTGGGAGATCCGGATGGAGGCAGCAAGAAAACAAAAGAAGGCGGCCGTGACAGACTCAAATAATAAGAGAATCGATGAGACGATCGATGACATGGGCAGCATCTTAACTGGGTGCCCATTGAGCGCTTCCAGTCTGAAATTAAGTTATTTCAAAACAAATTTGGAGTCTCTTATGTCACACAGAATAGACATATTGAACGTAGTTGCGTTAAACAAAGACCTGGTTGCCTGGACCCCAAAAGGAAGGCTCGAGAAACGTTTCTTTTTTTCTTATGTTTTTTTTTTTCTCTTTCTTTTAAACAGTCCATCACAGTCCCCAGTCTGTTCTCCTTTTCTATTTAAAAAAAAAAAAAAAAAAGGATGTGGAAACCTACTGCAGGACAGGATGGCAGACAAGGCACTTGCAGGAGGATGGCGAACAAGGCGCGGAAGGGCTGCAATTGCCGGCAATACTGGTACCAAAAAAAAAAAAGAAAAAAAAGAGCACTTGGCTCAGGCAATATCCAAGAAAGGAATACCGGCAGCCAAGCGGCCAACGACTGCACGGGAGGAGATCTTCCAAAGGGAAGATTAATGTCTACACTGCAGTCACTACTAGACGGCCTGACGGTGGCCGTACCTGCCCACAAATGCGTAACTCTCAGGACAACAACAGTGACTGTTCAGACGATGAGGGAGGACATCCCTTAGCAAGAGAGAGAAGAGAAAGAAAACCTGGCCTGCATCGACTGCAGAACCAATCAATCCTTGTTGAAATCCAGCTTCTAGAGCAGGCTGTGAGGGCGAAGAGCAAGGGAAAACAACAGCAGCAGCAGCAAGGGATGAACAAGCAACAACGTGGGCGTAACAGCAATCATGCCTCCCCGCCCAGATGACCGTCGAGCGCAAATGAAGGCATCGGAGAATAGGAAGTCAGACAGGAAGCCTGGCCTACGAGAACGATACATGGAAAGCGTGTGTGAGACATGCGGCCCCTGTGGACGTTTCAGTCCAGCCCTCGATCGCAGAGCCCTTACGCCCTGTAAGAGACTCAGACCCTTAGATTCAGCAGCCCAAGCTTATGGGCCAGTAAACGATTGAGGTCCTGCAGCTGAAGCAATACTTCCGGAGCATTTTAACTGGCCTACTATGCCTACCCTCTTCACCCAAATAGAACGCTATATTTGGGGCATTTTTCAGTCCAGGTGCAGCGATAATCTCCGGGCGTTCTATTCAGGTGAAGACGGTAGCAACCCAATGGGTTAGTTAGGGAGTTGCATAATCTGCCAGCAAGCAATGGGCCAAGGTCGGCAGCCTTTGAGCTTTTGAAACCCCTACGTTTTCCACAAAGGCCAGAAGAATCTATACCCATGGTCAAGGGTGGATTCATCGAGGCCGAAACCAAGACGATTAGCTGCTTCTCATATTTGACCCCATCTCCAACTTTGTCTCGTTGGTACCACTGCGAGGGAACACGCTTCAGCGCTGGGCGCAGCCAAGTTCTTCTGGAAACGCGAGGGAACATGCTTCAGCGTGGGTGTCATTAAAAAACTAAACCAAAAAAAATAAAAATCGGTTCTTCCCATCACCAGAGCCACAGTCAGTGTGACTTTGCTGCATTGCTGGGCGCCAAGATCTTAGAATGTGAACAATGCTGGGGCGAAATAAGTAATCGAAGGCGCTGAGCGCCATAGCTGTGAGCATGCATAGTCGGGAGAGAGAGAAACGAAGAGCAGCTAGGACATTCAGAGAGTGACCGCAGGACCTCGGCGTAGTCATTAGTAGCAGTAGGAGGGGGCAGAGAGAGAGAGAGAAAGAGAGAGAGAGAGAGAGAGAGAGAGAGAGAGAGAGAGAGAGAGAGAGAGAGAGAGAGAGAGAGAGAGAGAGAGAGANAGAGAGAGAGAGAGAGAGAGAGAGAGAGAGAGAGAGAGAGAGAGAGAGAGAGAGAGAGAGAGTGAGTTATGTTACGATTCTGGTCATTCCCAAAGTGCAAACTCACAATGAAAGACAACGCCACCCAATTACGAAAGAAATGAAAGCACTTGCACAGAGATAGAGACCAAAGAAGAGAGAAAGAAGAAGAAGAAGAAGAAGAAGAAGAAGAAGAAGAAGAAGAAGAAGAAGAAGAAGAAGAAGAAGATGTACACCAGCAAGACCAATGACAAATCCCCCGTCTCTCTCCACCTTCTTCCTCCTTCACTTGGTCAATCTTATTCTTCTTCCAACAATAATAATAACAATGAGTGGATGAACCAGAATCAATGTCCGAAGTTCAGTCTTACTGCTGACATCACAATAGGTCCACCATAGCTATGGCTTCCCCCCCTTCTTCCACCTCTCACATGCCTAGGCTATGGCGGACTACTGAGGGCCCTGCCCTCCTGTGCAAAGGACAACGCGAAGCAGCTATGTCGCTGCACTCCTGTCCAAAGGACAACCCAAAGCAGCTATGCCGCTGCTGACTAAGCCGCCATGCCTGACTCTGCCTCGAGCTTCCTTGGTGCGGCACTACCCCAACTGGGGCCTTCCAGATGCAGCGCCCAACAAGGTGATGAAGACGGTGTCCACCATAGCCAGGTAGGTAGCTCGCCACTCTCCTCCTTCGCCCCCTTCTTCCTCCTCCTCAGGCTGGGCTGCTCGCCATAGCCAGGCTGAGCGCCCAGCTGCTCGTCACCTCCAGGCAGCGCTGCCCAAGTCCAGCGCTTGGCTCCAGCAGCATCTCACCAATCCTTGCATACCGCAAATGAGAAGGAGCTGCTTGCTCCTCCGGAAGACATAGCGGCCTACTTGCCTCTTGGGCGGTGACTTCCTAGGCCGAGCGGCCTCCCAGCAACCGGTACCTCCTCCCTTTCGGAGGGAAACATCATTGCAGGCTCTGCTATCGTCCGGACAGGGCCTAGACTCAGGCTACTTGGACTGGTACCAGCCTACCTCTAACCTACAGCTACTGGGCCTCTAAAAATGCCAACTTTTTGTCTTCTTCTGCTCAGCCTCCAGTACCCGACACTTCTACCACTACTTGAGTGGTACTGGCCTACCTGCTACTTGAGTGTTTTTCCTGCTGCTCTAAGTGTCGCAGGCCTAGCCCCGCTACTTGAGTGTTTTCCCCGCGACAACCCTCAAAGTCACAGCCACAGGTAAAGTACCGGCCCTGCGGGGCCTTTCAACAAACAAGTACCCTTGCGGGTCATACACACACTCAGCCTACAAGCACTCAGACAGGCACGCAAACCAGCAGGCACACACACACACACACAGACTTGGAAACCACAGCAGAATGCTGGAATCTCAGCAAGGCATTCATTCCAGCAGCAAATCCCAGAAATCAGCGTGTTCTCTGTCTGTGTTTTGGCGGGTCATTACTGTTACCTGCTTGTCATTATTGCTGGCAGCCGTAGGTGCAATTTTAAGGAAAGGGGAACATCACTTCATTTCACGTTGTAATTCCGTTGTGATTGTGCTCATATCGTGTGGATCTGGCAGTTGTGACTAGGATCTTGATCCGTGAAAGCGGATCCTTGCATTACTATCCCACATCCACACCCAAGTACCCATTAGCATTGTCAGCTTCACTTTTGTGACGTTTGGCATGTATCATGAGACCATATCTTCCCCAAGTATGCTGTGTCATCAACATGAGACCATATCTTCCCCGAGTACACTGTGTCATCAGCAACTTCAAGATCCTCTAGCCACGTCCGCATGCTACAAACCGACACCCTAACATCACGTGGACAACATCCAATCACTCTTCACCGCATCAACATCTATGCTGACACGTCTCACCATCACAGACTCAATCCCCTCAATATCCGTCACCTACATCCGGATACCTTCATCACTGCCAACATAAGTGGCGAGGTAACCGACTCTAACGCCGAATTGAAGTGAGTCCGTTTCCTGATACTCACTTCATCAGCGTACTTCAAACATGAACCCGAAAGCCCGATGAACCAAACGACGAGATCACAAGGGGGACGGATGACAGAGTGCATGGTAAAAATAATTACATTAACAATCAACAGTGATTACAAAGTTGAAATAACCTCCCTCCAGGTGGGCTCTCTCTCTTTTCTCTCAACCGACACTCGCAATAGCTAGGGAGGCCGCAGCCTCACGCTCCTAGACGCAGCCTCTACCTCTATCGCTATCTCAGCCTGGGGCTAAGAAGACTCCTCCCACGCACAAGTATCGACATCAACTTGCCAGCCAAAGTGAATGGACGAGCTGGGGAACACCTAAATTTGACTTGTGCTGACTCAGCTTGGCCTGCCTCAAGTTGTCTCCTCCAATACTGCAATTTGTTAATCTGTATGCCAAGGAGTCTGTCACGGCCAGCATGTGCCTTGTCCCAACAGCTATGACAGATTACAGAAACCGTTGTTGAGCCTAAGGATTGTGCATGATCGATATCAATGAGGGCATACTCACACGGGGACCAAATGAACCAAAATCCCAAAATTTGAGGCATTTTTGCGGTCACACGGGGTTGGCCCTGTACCCAAATGCCTCAAATCGTGACCAAATGTCAGCGGCCTGCGAGGCCGCGGGGGTACCCTTTTTGAGACCACCTCCAGAGGTGGTCTCAAATGACCAAACGCTTTTTTCGTTTCCTTTCCTCAATTTGTAGAAAATCGTAGAAGAATAAGACAACCAACCGAAGTTGCTTTTCTTTTTTTTCTTTTTTTTTTTTGTCTTTTCTTTGGTGTCCTCTCGTGTGACCACACGACCTTGCCCTGACTGCAAAGTGTCAGGGTTGCGACTTCGTCCTTTCTGGACGACGTCCGCACGTGTGACCACACAGGGACCAAATGACCCAAATAACCGTACCCAGATGCCTCAAATTTTTGGTTCTTTTGGTCCCCATGTGAGTATGCCCTGAGTGTTCTCCCTTTCTTCACTGTAAAAAAGTAAAAAAAAAAAAAAAAAAAAAGCTGGGACACCCATACTCTCGTGCCGCACCCCCCACCGAAACACAGTCCCTCGATCGATGAATGTTCGTCCTCTCTTCACCGTAGGAAACAAGAGGGACAAAAAGACAAAACAAAAAACAAAGCTGGGACAGACATACTCTTGTACCGCCTCCCCCACCCTCTGGTCGATCACCTGCTAGGCCCAATCTGACCACAACCCTACCTTAATCGGCACACTATCGATAGCCAGGCGGCGGGTGGACTGGTGGTTCCAGACACCCTTCAGATGCAACAGAGTGCAGCCAACACAGAGTGCAGCCAACACCCTTCACCAACCCTTCTCCAGCTCTGTGTCTGGCCCCCATAAATCCAGTGTTCTTCAACTTTTCCACCTTTTTTCTATTCGGTCCCGTTTTCACAGTTCCAGTCAATGAGCGGCTAGGAGTGGCTGCTCTTTTTTTTTTTTTTTTTTTTTTTTTTTTT